AATTGTTATTTTTGTTTTCTTTGCGCTCAAAAAGAATTCTCGTAGCTTCGCAAAACTGAAGTTGAGCCACTGATGTCACATGGACTGTTTTACCGATGTCCTTACTACGTTTCTGGACCTGGGAACATTACAGTTGCGTTGCTGTCTATGCATATTCATTTATTAAAATATTATAATAATATTAAATAATATCAAATATTATTTAATATTAAGATAATATTAAATACAATTAAGATAATATTAAAATAATATCTTAATTTGTGTTCCGAAGATGAACGAAGGTCTTACGGGTTTGGAATGACATGAGAGTGAGTAATTAATGACAGAATTTTCATTTTGGGGTGAACTAACCCTTTAAATACATTCGAAAGGTCATCTCCCACCATATATATATATACAGTATATATATATATATCTTCCATAACAGCACAAAAATAATTAAATAAAAATAAAATAATTAAAAATAAAAAATACAAATAAAGTATGTACACTTTCAGTCTGTTCAGGCTGAAAAAAATGTGTAAAAAAAAAATGCTAAAATAATAATGCAACTGTAGGAATGAATCTGAAATATACTTAAAAAAACTCATCTGTGATTATATATAGTGTAATTATAATTTCAATCGGTTCCTTACACAGATATATACCTGTACAGTAAGCACATCATAATCACAATACTGTACATTTCTACTCACATATACAGCATCTTTATACTGTAGTAACTATGACAGCCTTGAGATGATTGACAGTTAGATGTTGATAACATTCAGTGTCAATCTAAAGTATCTTCAGCAGAGAAGTGGAAGCCAAGAATCCTGCTAGTGAGGGCAGCATCCATTCAGCTGTATTTAGCCTTTTCCAGTTCGTCATGAGTTACTAGGCAACATGATATGAAAATCCTCATTCTCCACTGCATGTGTAAATGGTTTGCCTGTGCTAATATCAAGTATTATTATTTAATATCTTGATATAGAGCTGATTACCAGTGCCACTCCAAAGCAGAGCAAGAGTACTTTTCTCCTCACACTTGGCTTTGTTGACACTTTGCTGATCAATAATGTTTAAATAGACCTGCATGTTAAGTACTTCATAAGTATCCACGGCAAACCAATTAGTCCTGCTGCAGCAGAACACTTCAACAGAAAAACCTAGTAAACAGGACTGTTCAAACACAATCGATTAACCAGGTTTAAAGACTGATGAAAGACTGTGTGTATTTGATCTGTGGTCAAACAGACCTGCAAAACCACATGTACATGTGCTTCACAACATCTCAAGAATTTCCTTTCAGCTTTAAAGAATGAATGGATGATTTTGAAGGTGAACTGAGTAACTCTATTGCTATTCTGAATTTACACCCCATTTACTCCTGTATTTTTACTCTCCACATTCCATCAGATCAATCCAGTTGTTAAACCTGTATGACTCTGTGGAACACAAAAGAAGATACTGAAAAATGACTCCGTTTTTTGTCCCTACAGTGTTGTTTTGGACTCGATAGTTGAAACAGTCTTCACCTTCTGTGTTTTGCAGAAGAAATAAAGTAGGTGAATAAATGTTGACAATTTTCATTTTTCAGTCAGACTGCCATAATTCAACAAGTTTTTATCTACAACTGAATTAAAAATCAAGCTGATTACTGGACTCACACTTTAAAATAAAAAAATAAAATAAAATGTCAGTATAGTATCTGCTGTTTCACTAAATGGAAAAGGAATGGATCAAACCCAAGCTGGACTGAATCACACAGGAACCAGAGTGACGAACAAACTGCTAATATTTTGTTTCTTTTCTAAATCAAAGATGATGGAACATCATTTCAGATCATTAGATCCAGCTTTAACCCCTGGTTTTACCCACAAGTCCTTCATCTCTTTGAATCACGTCCCTGTTGTGGAGGAAGAGAAACAGCATGGGTTAACTCACACTGTTACAGACACGCAGTGTGAACGGGCTCAACAATGGCTGCCTGTTTTTATCGTATTTCAGAGTCAATAGGCTCTAACCAGCAGGATGACTGGATTCATCCATACAAAACACCACTGAGAGTGACCAGATGGATTCTGAAAAAAGAAACTAGTTTTGTGAGGGGAACTTTTGTGAATGCTGAAGTGGAGCTCAGACTGTAAAGCTTTAAGAAGCAGATTTTGAGTTTTATGACCAGAGACATGAGA